GCTACTGCACTTCTCTGGGTTTAGGCAGGAACACTATAGGGTAAGTAGACAATGTGAGGTCCTGTAAGACGAGATTCTAGGAAAGGAATGCAGTTAACAACCTGCCGCGTCCTCTTGCACTATTCACGCAGTCCCACCCCACACCCTTGTTTTCGCATAAAACCCACGCTCCTCTTGCAGCCCGCGGTCGTATTCTTCCAGGACAGTCACGTCAGCAAGTAGAGAAGGTGAGGGTGGGCAGACACATCGAACTTTCCCACGATATCAGAGAAATTCAGGAATGAAAAGGACGTTACATACGAGGTTGATGCATTTGTGCATGTCGTACTAAGCAAGGTATAAAAACAGTTGCTTTATGAGGAATTAGTTCGTACCATTGAATATTTGACGCAAGAGACAAGGTGTCGCAGAAACCGATGTTGCTATAACCAAGTTTTACTGTAGTTTAATAAATTATGTTTACTGTCACCAAGTTTTAAAACTATCAGTAATAGAACTTTTTATATTTGTCATCATTTTATTTTATTCTGTTTTTTGGCTTATCTGTCTTTTATATATGTACCACTTGACGTGTTCCATATCCTACCTGTTGTACTGTGGATCTATGGAATGTAAAATAAATGAATGAATGAATGAATGAACTTCAAGAATTTTCAGATTACCACTTCTGTTTTGTGCAGCAGCACACACACTAGCTCAGCCATCAGAATGGTAATGGTTGGCAACATTGGCATGAATCAACCTACCAACAAATGTCTTGTCACCCTCTCTCCACCCACATCTCCATCATGACATCCCCATGCTGCACATGGCAAAGCAGGCCTGACTTGGGAACTGAATGTTTTTAAATACAATGGTTTGTAAATTTTTTCATGAAGGTCATGATAACAAATGGGATAAATAGATCTTAAAGTGTGGTCCACACCCCATTAGGGGTCTGAGAGGCCTGACCTGACCAGGGGATTTGCAAGATTATTTCTTCTTCCTGTTATAAGGAGCAAATAATGTACTGAATCTTTTTAATATTTTACAAAATTTGTTTACTTGAAATAATGGTACAATACATTGTATTGTAAATTGGATTTGAAATTATATGCAGGTATCTAGAATAGGTA